TCCGCCGCAAACCTGTGTTGCCAAAGACCGAAAGGTTACGCATTTCATTCACCGAATCAGCTAGATCTTATTTTCGTACTGCAGATCCACACGGACAAAAGTCTTGTAAACTCTGACTTTTAAGGGGCATAATATTTCCAGACCACGCCACCAAAGGGTCAGGTTTGTACATACTACCCGGGCTTTAGCGGTGCGGAGAGATACAACTTTTTAAATAGTGGTATCATCAAAATTACAGCTTCCAAGGTAGCAAAACCTGTCCACATGCTCTAGCTGTGTTCTTTTACTTATATGTGAGAGGGCGTACGACTTCCAGCCATAGAGCAACCCTTGACACTTCAAGCGCACATCACATTTCGACATTTCAATATCCAGACGATAAAATATTGCTGTACACTGCGTATATTCAACAAGTAGAGCCATAGCTTCAGCGTAAATTAAGTCAGTCATGGGATGGTTAAGAAGAAGCCTAACAACAGTTTGTCGGGAACCTTCCAGGAAACGCAACAGGACCTCCTCATTTTCAAACTTGTAGAGGAATGAAAACAAAGGGCACCCATTCTGACCACCACCAAATATAACAATGGGTGGGGAAAGCTTGTAATAGGCAGTCACTCTATCTGACACTGGTGTAAAGAGCCCGAATGATGGAAGTTTACTTTTCGGTTTCCATTTCTTCGCAAACAGTACATAAAGCAGCTCTATTAACCGAGTCAAATGCAGCCCGTATATCTGTGAAAACCACAAAGGTTTTAATGTATCCGAGCTGGCTGTTTTCAAGGATTTGGCTTAGTGGAGATATTTGTTTCAAGCGTCCTCGACTGAGAAGTAAACCAGCTAGTTCCTGTGCGTAAAACAACTCATAGATCGGGGCTGGTCTGCGGAGCAGTATGGATGCCAGCAGTTTAAATGTAGCGGGCATGATACTGTTTCCCCGCTGAGTAGCACAGGATGTGCACCACCTGTCTTGCAAATAGAGACAATTATTTTTCACCCCATTAGAATGAAATCTTCTCTTGGTTCCATATCTTTGAAAACTGCAAGCTCAACTGCTTGAGAAGTGCTGGGCTGCCTAATTTTAACATTTCCGCTGGAGGTTTGTCCGAGCCGGAGACTTCAATCACTTGGGCTCCAATGAAATAACCCAGTGCATGCAATAATGTGTACATGGCATAAAAGCAGACCATGGATGGGACTTGAATTAGGAGTGAAATTGCTCGGCACAACAGTTTACGCGTCTTTGCAGGTAAGTGATTCCTGACCCATCCAGTTCACATATAGTTTCGCTTATACCAGCCATTATAGGACCGGTGAACCGAATGACCTAGAAGAGCGTGCGGAAATTGTCGGAGACAGCAGCGGTCGCCATATCCTAGGCTTGCTGAGACCACCAAGCCTCGCGGCCATTAAGCAAACTTGGTTTGAGTTGCCGGTTAAGAGCCTAGCGCATAAAATTCTGAGCTGAATATGGTGGACTATTTCGACAACAGCCAAACAGTAGTAGCCAGCCAGCGTAGGTTCAACTTATCAAAACGTTTTAGGTGAGACCAAGAAGCGATAACCAGATGAAAGTGTTGCTTCATGTAACCAAGCCCAATGTTCCTTACCAACCTGGGGTGAACTACAGGTGTCCGCATCCGATAGGGCAGCTTGATAGCTCAGTCGGACAGAAGCGTCAACTAACATGTTTGTGTAAATCATACGGTGCAGTTGTTTCCGAAGCTCACCGAAGTGCATGCAGATGTTCGAACAAACCAGCGCCTGAATTGAGTCGAGGTAGGTTGACCAGAGTGACAAATAGTCTCATATACTACCTCGCCTACTGAAACTGATTGCGACGTAGTCAACCTGGGATCAGAACTGGGTGGACGATGGAGAGCGCCAGGTTGCGGAACGTATTTTTATGTCTGAAATCTTTGCTGGACAGAAACCGGTGGTTGTCCTCGCACAACACGAGAAGCCATTCTCTAGTATCTGCGCGTCTCTCGTTAAGGGCGTGCTGACCTCCAAGTTGGCGATCAAATGGAAGACGACCGACCCGTGCATTATACTCACCTGGGGTATAAGAACATCTGACTAGTCACGTTTACACAAAATTAAGTAACTTTCGCAGCAGTACTCTTCCTTGACAGAGTCGCTGATGCAGTCAGCTGGAGCGTATGCACAAAGGACAAATAAGTTGCCTGTTGATTTACGATGTTTGTTGATACGAACTGATCCCTTACTCTGAACTGCGCATAGTAGTTTTTTAACTGGTAACCAGTTTTGAAACGCAGCTTCGGCTTTCTTACTGACCGCTATCACAACACTAGCCAAATATGCTGCAGACGCTTCTGCATCCGTGAATAGGCACAGTTTGTATGTCGTTCCGCGATCAGAATGGGACGTCAGTCTGAGTACGCTGCTGGGCTCCTGCAACCGGGTTTTGGAAACGCAGCAAACTTCAACGGCGATGGGCTCCAGGGTCCGCGCCAAGCCGGCTTGTTGATCAATCTGCATAACTGTTAGTGCTTTGAAGCAGGCCACTCAGAACATCGCTCGAGGTTGAAATGTGTCCTTTGAGTGAGCGTTTCGATTGTCGGCGAATCCGGGATTGGAGGCAGAATCAACGCAGGTAGGGATGACAAAAAGGTTGTGTTGGCATATGATAGACCTAGGCGAACGACAAAAGCAGCAGTAGCGAAAGCATGAAAAGAAGGTAAATTCAGGGTTTTTCTCAGCACACATGAAGCTACCCGGTTGCTCAAGCCGAGGTAGCAAGTTGTCTCAGGAAATATTGCCTCGAGCATTTGGCTCAAAAGCTCGAAAGCGGGGGGAAGTCAGGTGATCGCGTCCACTGAGAGCTGGTGAACGATTGCATAGTTCACGCACCTTTTGTATGGCGATCGGATAAAGTCTGCGCCCAGTCTGCACACAGATTCAGACTACATCTGAGAATTACAATGCTTTGATGAAGCAAAGCAAGGGGCGGTGACCTCAGTTAGCGGCTAATTATATCTGTTAATTTATGGTGTTTTAAACGGACATTTACCTCAGTCTATGGAGAGAAGGCTTGCCAGGCGAAAACATATCACATTCTGAAAAATTGCAGCCAAACTTTCCGCTGGCAAAGGCGTAAAACCGATCCACGAACTGGCACCACGAGTAGTTAGTACGGCATGTCAGCCGGACTTGGAAACAACTTAGAGAGACCGCTATGATAGTATTGCGATAAACATCATAATGCCTGTGAAATCTCGTATGCACGTGGCACATGAGCTGCTTTAACACACAATGGTAGTGCTCTCCAGTGAATGGACTTTTCAATGTCAAACCAATAGTTTTTATTTTTCGACACTAGGCCCAGGAAGCCGGAAAGCAATACATAAGGCCGGTGATAAATATGAAATGTTCCGGACTGGAAGGGCGAGACACATATAGATTGCTTCGTGACAGCCCATTAGGCCAGTGCGACTGCAAATTCAACCATCGAATCAGGCAGCACCTACCGAGTTCGATCACCAACGGCAGAAACTGACCAAATCTGTTTGTAATTACTAAATACGTGATTGCCACTGAGCACAACATTGTCGAAAGTAATGCCTTCGAAATCCTGTATAAGGTACCGACACATTTGACCTGTCATTTGGCAGCACGACTTCTGCTACTAATGAAGCAATAAGCATAGAATGATGAAGCCGTATATCGACATTCAAAAGTAACTCATGCAAACATTACAGCTTCCATGTCCGCCAACCACACGAGAGGAATTTGTTGCCGCCAATCACCCAATCTCTTGACGCTTATCCTTAGAACTGGTTATGTTTAATTTTGTGCAAGCAATGGTGTGTCACTATACTGTCCAATAATCCATAAGTGTATTTTGTGTACTAGGCATGATGAGGAAGAAATCGAAAGCAGTTGTTCGCTCTAAGCGTTTTGTTTAGGTTTATTCTCGGGTTTTAACTATTTCAGCGTAACCGCTAAATGAGCATGCAGTTACTGTAGTCAAATGCACATCATTTTGTGTGTAAGCCGCACAAATCAACTGCACGCGATATATCAAGATAATTGCACGTTGTTTTGATTACGGTGCATAATTTAATAAGGCAAATGATATATGGATTATCACCGACAGCAGACCTTACCAGTTAAGGTGAATAGTTGGAATTTACATCAATTATTTAAGGAATATTAATACGGAATACTGGATGGATGCAGCATAATGGATGTCTCTGTGGAGCGGTTTCTGAAACCATCAGTCAAAATTTTCCATTATGTCAGCGAGTATTCGCGATAATTCATGTCGGTAGTGTTTGTACAGCAATGATGCTGACTTTTGACACAGATTTAGCTTCGACTACTTTTCGGTGGTAGGCTCTTCTGCATATTCATTACTCAGTTAAAAGCGGAATAAAACGACATTAAAATCGATATTGCAAAAATTTTCCGTTGTGCTTGTGTGTTGTTGTTGTGTGCATGTGAAGTGATTGTCTCAAGATGAGGTAGTCACAAAGATGTAACATCCGGTTCGTCATGTTGAGGTAAATCCGTACTGGACGATAAGAGAGTGTAACTCCCTTGTCTTTTGCACCGGGCTTCGTAATGTGTGGATGTTCCTAGTGACCACATGCCATAACTCTTTGATCCTCTATGACTCGCGCCGGGTGATAGGACAGTATGCAAACGAGCCGCACTCTATCATTGGTCGTATTAATGTGATGGAGAAAATATCGGGAATCTCTTCGGACCAATTGCAAAACTCCGTTCTAGCGCCCAAGGTATATGAACTCCATGTTTGCAGTGCCTATTCGTACTGCCCATGCAATTTAGAACGCTTCTTGACAGTAAAGTGAGAACTCTCACGAAAGGAACGGGCTGATGAAACGGAGAGGAATAAGCAATTCTAATTGAGTGTATACAGACACGAGCGCAGAACACTTATTTCTATCATCTGCGTATAATGCACAACGTAGGATAACTATGGACAGAATTAACACAGCCAATCAGATGTGCACGACATGGACGTTTGTTTGAACAGTTGTGACATTAACTTAATTCATCATTTTAGTTATGCGCGGTCACCAAAGCTGATCTTATTCCCTCTCAAGGAGCATGATGATCTGCGGTCACTAGACAAGGATAGCTTTTTGCACAAACTGGAAAGCGCAGTGTACCCAGGTCTACTGAAATATACGTCATCCCAGGAGTCGCAACCTGATGTTACATTTGCTGGCATAGAATCTTCATCCGACTTAATCGTGGCTGACTCTTACCCTCAGTCAGATTTCCGCAGTTTGGCCAATGCCTATTTGAGCTTGGGTGCCACGAGGTCAGACTTGCATAGACAACCTCGGGTGGAGTATGATCGCAACGGTGCATTCATATCTCTGTTTCCACCAGTCAAGAATATTCGTTTTCCGGCACCGGGGCCCCGCGTGACCGTTTGGGCCCACCTATTCTCCAACCTGTAGGACACCATCGTACAGTCGACCGTTGTTCCTAAAGAAGCACCGCAAACTATCGAAGTATTTCACACTAGAATCTAGAGGGTCTCTACCTCTCATGATGACAATAAACTGCCATCGGTAACTGCAACAATGTTTCTTCCTATTCCGTACACAGAACCGTTTCGATGGCAAATAGGTCAAGAATATCCAGCCGCTTTGTTCCCATCCGCAGTGTTCGTTCATCGACGTCAATTACAAAATGGAGCGAGAGCAAGACAGTTGTCCGTTCCAAGTAACATGGGATCCAGAAAATTACTCCATATCGATGCATTGGAATTATCTACTTCTCTTAATATTTTGTCGATCACGGCTACCTTTGTCCAGTTTCTATTTATCATAACAATCGGGTTTTAGATGAGAAAATTTTCTAACACTTAAAATCGTGTTGAATGTCGGCTAACCAAATTTGGATTTTAAGGTTGCAAGTTAATGCAACAGCCTGTTTGCTGGTTGATTTATAACTTGACATTTTCATGAAACCCACTCTCGAAATTTCTGCATAATATTAATCACCGAAGCTATACACGTTAGAAAAAATTTTAACATTTTCCATAGGAAAATGCACGCCGTCCGCACTTTCCTTTCTAGTTATTTCGCTAGGCAACCTCAATGCCGTTGCAAGTACGCCTTCAAACAATTCGAGTGATAAATATGAGAATATTTATAATATATACCAAATATATGCCAATACAACACTTTCGAACATTATTTTCGGCTATAAAACTTAGAATATCTCAGCGCACTAGTGTGTTTTCTACTTATTTGTCGTGGTCTACAGAGCAATCCAAGTGTACAGCACGCACTAGTGCCGAAATCCCGGTCACCGTACTGCTACAATTTACTTAGCAGAAAATTAGCAGCAGCAGCTATTCACATTTTAAATTAAATTTGCCCTACATGGACCATCTCATATATTCGGCTTTGAGTTTGCCTATGATTTTATCGAGGACCATAGATAAAATCATGGAGCTTTTAACGTTTATGACGCAATTTCAAAACCCATGGTTTTGCTACCCAGCCAGATTAGCTAAAAGCAACCAAAAGCAAGTCATTTTTAGTACAGGTAACACTGCTGAAACAACAACGATGATAACTGTTAAGAAATGAGAAGGGAAAACCCAAGGTGATATCCAAATGTTGAACAAAACGAAGGCATCTCCGAAAAATGTACGAGAGTGAATTTATTAGCAAACTGAAGCAATGTGATGAATGGACTGTCCATGCGACTTCAGAGGACCAAGAGTGTTTCTACGTGCCGACGTCATTTTATTTACTTTAATATCAATGCATATTCGGGATTCATGATAGAAGTATAAAATTTAACCTGCATAACTTCATCAGTAATCGGCTCACGGCAAACGGCCGTTCAGCGTGGAAAGGCGGACATGGTAGAGCTCACCTATCGAATACAATCCCGGTGTAATTGCTCAGGCTATGAGAATGTGATCAAACGTTTTGCTTATTCCCCAACTACAAGGAAAGCGTACTTGCAGGGTCTAGGTTTTAAACAACATAATGCACGTTTCACTGCCATGTTTACTCCCGTGTTTCAGCTGCTCTGTATGTTAGAGTGCGGTTAAGTTAACTTTAAGTTTAATTTAATTTAGTTTAAATTTAATTTAATATGAACTCAACAATAAGTATATTCTTTATCCTTTGTCATCCCAATCGTCCGTATCTGCTATGATATCCGATTTTTCTAGACGGACCAGTGATCAAGGTTGTATACAGCATGCACATACCTGATAATGCACATTTACGCGTTTATTGCCTCATCGAGGGGACTGAACATTAGTTATTTTATTAATTTCATGAAAGCTACCAGTACAGACAATGTCAATCGCATAAGAACACGTAGACTGTTCTACCGCTCCTAAAATCTTTTCTTCCTTGCACCTATTAATTTCGACTGCTTGAGTAAGCAGAGCTAACTCCGAACGACGCTTTTCAAACTATTTTTGTAAGAGGAACATATCGCAACAAAAAATAACAAAAGCAGCACAACAAATGAATCCCTATATATATTTATGAAATTTATTTATTTTTTATTTTTTATTTTTTTATTTATGAAATTTATTATGAAATTTTACGAAATTTTAACGGAAATTGGAAAGATGTTAAGTGCGACACAATAATTAAACACAAGTCATACATGTAAACGTCTCTAAAAAAATAAAGCCGGTTTCGATTCATTCACACGTTTAGAATATTATGACATTTTATGAATGCTGATTTTTGAAAAGTAAAAGGCCACAAACATGCCGAATTCC